GAGAGGGACTTTTCACAAGGACATGTAGTGAGTGATAGGACAAGGGGCAATGGATTCAAACTGAAAGAGGGGAGATTTAGATTAGATATAAGGAAGAAATTTTTCACTCAGAGGGTGGTGAGGCACTGGAACAGGTTGCTCAGAGAAGTTGTAGATGCCCCATCCCTGGAAGTGTTCAAGGCCAGGTTGGATGAGGCTTTGGGCAACCTGGTATAGTGGAGGGTTTCCCTGCCCAGGGCAGGGGGGTTGCAACTAGATGATCTTTGAGGTCCCTCCCAACCCAAACCATTCTATGATTCTACTAGGATCTACTTATAATATATCTTGTTAAATGCTCCTGATAATCACTGCACCATTCATTTTCATTCTTGAAGGCACTATTGCAAAGTCATAGCTTTATTTTGTGTTTTTATCATCACAGGTAAGTGGTTCTGTTTCTTAAAGTCTGATGACTTCTGGAGATACTGTAATTCACTCTCTTGTAAAATACTTGCTCCGTGAGAATCTCTCGAGTTGGGGTGACAAAGGTAAGGCCCAGATGTCTGTTCAGATGCAGCCAGTATTGGAACACCTCACGGTACAATACTTGGAATTAAGGAAAACTAAACTAACTTTACCTCACAACTGCTGAGGAGGTATTCTGGCTTTGCTGCTTCCCTGTACAAATCAGGCCACTGCTCCTGGTTAGAGAGAAACAGAGTGCATGATTTTCCTGCTGTAACAACAGATTTGTAAGGAAATAGTAGATAAACACAATGAAACTCCTCCAATACATTTTTCAGCAGTGTGAGACCATAAGTTTTAAACCAAGCCAATTAAGGGGCTTGATGCTGAATTCTTAATTCTCATTAATAGATATTTCCTTGTGCATCTCAGGGGATACTAGAATTTTATTGAAGTGTCCCTGATTGCTGATTGGTATCGCACAGGTTTTGCAGTTCAGACCATACATCAGATTGAGACGATCGCTCCTGTACGAAAACTCCTTATTTAGTTCTCAAACTGCAGAATACACTGAATTTAGCTCATGCAGTAGGAAAATGAGCAGTTTGCATTGCTCTAGAACATACGGTTGTCAATGTGCAGACAAACCTGACCTGTAAATTAATTACTCTGGACCATTCATCTTAAAACTAGAGGTAACCGAGGCACCACAGTAACAGGACCAGCCATCTGAGGCCTCTCAACACAGTTCCTTGCTCTAGGAAAAGTCTAGTTTCAAGGCAAACTGGTTTGTTCAAATAAAGTTTGTTTGGACTAGGCTTTTTTTTTTTGTCCCTTGGTGTCTGTGCTAGAAAGTCTGACAGAGCCATCGCTCAATTGCTCTGTGCTGAGTGTTCTCTGCAGTGTATAGAGCGACCCTTGTAACTGCCTGGATGGGGTAATCTTGTGACAGAAATTCTGTGCTAGCAGGATGGAGGAAAGTTCAGGGAGAAAAATACTCAGATTTGGAGGAACCTCTAGAAAAAAACTTGCCTTGTTTTCCACCACTCCCCTTTTTTCTTTTTTTTTTTTTAAATCACTGTGATTTGTATTATGAAGAAAACCCCTTTTTCAATAATACTCATTTATGCAGCTTCTAAAAGATGTAGCATCACCTTAGAGCCAAACACTAAGCAGGCAATAGAAATGCCTTTCTTTTTTCCTCCATTTCCAAAGAAAAAAACCCTGTCACTATAAAGCTGTTATTCAGGTGTGTACACTAAGCTGGACATAATGAAAAACTTAACTTGCATTTAAGTTCTGAACTGAAAAGAATGCCCATGCAGTCTTAACTTTGTTTTTCTGTTAAAGACGACAGCAAGCAACAACTTCTTTCCCTCTTTATTATGGCTACTTATCCAAGGCAATTGAAAAGTTGCTTAACTTCATCCTTGTAACTCTTCAGGATCTCTGCTAGCGCTCATCTGCTGCAGTATTTTGACATATATTCCGTGATGTTTAGTGGCAAGATATAATCCAGTTATAAGCTGTATAAGTACACCCAGACTCATCTTTCTGAAAACAGGCTGAGCAGTTGTGAGCCAGTAGCGTAACAGATTTTCTTTCCCTGGCAAGGGAGATGAAGAATACCTAAACAACATAAACAGTGTTAAAGTCATTAAAAGTATTTAGGTAGCAATTCATTCTCTCCTTCCTCTCCTAAGTCAAATTCACCTGGTGGTGCTGAGCTCTGGATAAATGCTATAAACCATCCTGACCACGTACTGGCATCTCACCAAGTCCCACCATCCCCTCACTGTGCTCTGACCCAATCCACAGAATTCCACCTGCCAGGGACTTTGGCTGCCAGGCACAACCCAGGATCAGTGAGGTCTCTTGGCCAAACAGCACCAAGCAGCCACCTTTGCTGCTTGGTGGGATGGCAGCCACCTTTGCTGCTTGGTGGGATGGCAGCCACCTTTGCTGCTTGGTGGGATGGCAGCCACCTTTGCTGCTTGGGGGGGTGGCAGGCACCTTTGCTGCTTGGC